ACTGCAAGTGCCGTGCCTCCGGGTCCAGAAGTTGCACAGGCTTGCTTCCACTCATTAACGGGCTTCTCAGGGTTATTTTACCATCTCTCCAACAGACAAAACCCGTGTGACAGAGCATACAGCACACCTACAGCAGCTCTCACACAACCATAAGCAGAAACAAAGCTTTTTCTTTCCACAAAATAATGTTCTGTTTGAGCTCTCCCTAGGTTTTAGGCAGAAGCAAAGGCGAATGGCCCTGCAGCCATGCAAGGACTCAAGTATTGGTCCTTTGTAGTCTGTAGCTGTCCCTTTGATGTAGATACCCTTTCCTGCAGGACAAACTTTTATAATTTCTAGCACTGTGGATTCCCAAGATGCCTCCAGCTTTTACCAGCTCCTCATTGCAGGGGACAGCAGTGAAGATCTCACCCAACGGCAGGAAGGGAGGCAGCAGCCACCCAGCTGTGTGCACCCTTGGACCTGAGAGGGTCCGGGACCCCTCCTGAAGCCCACCATCACAGGTAGCCAGCAGATACCTTCCTCCCAGCTGCAGCAAGAGGGTGAAAGCACCCATGTGAGGACCTGTGGGACACGTCCTCCCCATTGCCAGCAAACGGCTCCTCTCCAACGAGACCTCCAAGGCGAGCGATGCAGGGGCAGCACTCAGGGCCCCAGGCAGTGCTGGCACTGGTGGGCACCCAGAACCCGCTGCCACGTGTCAGCGCCAGTAACAGCACTGGCACCACGTGGGAAGCAACGAGGCCGGGATGGCCATGGGGATGGCAGCAGGGAGCAGCATGCTGTGGTGTGCCGGTCCAGGGTCAGCCCAAGGCTGCTGAGAGCAGCTGTGCAATCAATACGGCTGTCCTGCTTCCTCTTGCATGCCACCAGCATAACTGCGGGATCTATAACCAGGAAACTCGGTAAGAATAGACCTTCCGTAATCAGAGAATTTTCAGGACATTTTCGGGAGTGCCACAGTGTTTCCCCATGCCGTGCATCGCAGCCACAAGGCTGCTTCGAAACAGGGAGGCTTCTCCCTTTGGCACCTGGCAGCGCTGAGCTGAGCCAGGCTGGCACTGAGGCCCCCCGGGAGGTCTAAGCTGCAGCAGCACCTGCATGCGGATGCCCTCACCATGCCCTGATGGAGACCTCCGCTGTGCCCACACGCAGCCTCTGCTGCTCACGCTTGGTCAGGAGGCTGACCCACAGCAAGCCGTGCTTCTCTTCCCCATCACTCAGACCCATCGCGGCCGGGACCGCAGCTACGCCGCTCCCCAGGCCAGGCACGCTCCCCATACATGCCCTGGGGACGGTGACTTTGCCTGCCAGCCTGGTAGCTGGCTTGCAGGCTGCATCTGCAATGCTTGCCTGCATGTTTCTTAGCAGGGCTAAGAGCACAGGAGGGCCTGGACGTCTCAGTTTGGCCAGGATATGGCATGGAAAGCCCAGTGCCACATAAATATTTATACAGAGCATCATCACCTGCCCTCTGTAGCCTGGTGAACAGGACACTGCCAGCACACCTGAGTAGCTGAAATACTGCAGTGGACAACAGGATTTTTAATTAAGGTTATGACTCTGCAGAAGCACTCCTTGCATGGAAAGCCTTTTGGACCAGGCAAAATTCAGATGCAGATTTTAATCTTTCCATCAAAATCATTCTCACTGAAGCAGGAGCTCCCGGTCTTGGCCGTGGTGTGGATCCTGTGCAGACAGACACATGAGCAGGCATACGTCAGCGCTGGGAAGAGGCTCTGCCTGCAGACCAGCATGCAAATGTCAACCTGCCTGGAGGCATCCAGCGCTTGCCACAGAAAGCCCACAATCATCTAAGAGGCCAGCGCATAGTACTGAGTGTCCCCAACTACCCTGGCAGCAGAGGCAGCCCCTTGTGGGACAACGCTCTGCCTGCGACCCCATCCACAGCGGTGGTGACCATACCGCCTTGTCACATATCGGATCCAAAAGCCGGAGGAAGGACAACACGTCTGACCCACGGACAGAGCGCTGCTTCCTCTGCTGCAGCTGGAGAGAAGCAAACCTGATGCTGATGGCTTTGGACCCGAGATCAACTCCTGCAGCCGCCGTGGGCTCCTGCAACCTCCCGCCTCCACTCCCAGGACCCCCTGCCAGACGCCGCCCTGCGGGGCATGGTGGGGAGGCAGATCGGCAGCGCGATCCACGTACAAAGCTACCGCTCTCCACAGGCCACTCCAGCCCACCTTGAGCCACCCCAAAGGACAGGCCAGCCCCAGGCTGTGCAACAGTTAAACCCCAGCGTTTGCCTTGCAGGAGGGCCAGGAGATCCTGTTGCTCAGAGAAATGCGTTTGTCCAAGACAAACAGCAGCCGGGCATTGTTTCAGCATGAGTCAAACGAGTGGAAACGCTCCCGTGCCATCCTGTTTTGCTATCTGGAGGTTTCCCCCTGCCTTCAGGATGTGCAGGCAGGCTCCGGGATGTTTTCTATTCGCTGTTCTCTTACTCCTCCATTTCCCGCAAGCGCCTGTGCCCAGCACTGCCCCGTGCCCCAGCACAGCAGCCTGACCCTTGCACAGTCCCGGCCCATGCCTGGAAAGTGCAGTCTACAGCCAGCCAGCCAGCCAACAGGCAGCCAGTAGGAACAGCATTGCCCCCCAGAAAACAGTGCATCAGTTACAAAATATGCCGGTCTGCACTCATTTACCTCCTCTGATGGGCCAAGTTGGTAAAAAGGATCCAACACAGCCAGGTGAATTAATGTCCATCCATCTTCCCCATCACTAAGGAGATGGGAAGATGGCACCCAGTCCTTTCCCAGCCGGAGCAGCTTATCCAGCCCTGAGGGTGCCGGTCCGCAGCCCCTTGAGCAAGCTCAGGAAAGCCCTGCTGACTCTTCCCAACCTCTCTGACATTTTTCCCCATGCTGGCTACCCTGCTTTTAAGGCCTCGGTGTTGAATGTATGCTGGCGCAGCTGCTGTTCATACCCACACTACTGCTAGCAAGGGTGCACCACAGTGCTGCAGAGTCATAGCTAAAGGCACTGTGTCCTGCTTGGAAAACACCTCCTGGTCTGCTGTGGGAGCAGGTACCAGGATGCTGGTGTCTCCTTTGGCTGCAATTCCAACCACATCACCTAGCTGCCTTTGCTGGGAATGCTTTGAGTACAAAGGAGCAATGCTGGGATAAATCTCCCTGGTGTGGCAGGGAGCTGCGTGAGCGGGGTGGAAAACATGAGTGGCAATGGAGAGACCCCATCATCTCCCCATAACCCTCCTCCACTCCCACAACCACTTTCCCAACTGATGCTTCAAGCCTGCACACGTGACAAGTCACACGGCTGCAGCTGGCATCTCTTATTTCACACCTAGAACACGTTTTTATCTTGCTGAAAGTATAAAAATAGCAAAGATTTTTTTTTTTACAAAGACACTGAGGCTTCGTCAGCTTGCGTTTTCATCTGGAAGCCCTTTTAGCAGCGAGGTGCGAGCCCCGCGGGGCGGAGGGCTCAGCGGGAGGGCAGGCTGGCGTTTGCACAGCTTGCCCCGCGCCGGGTGATCTGGCGACAAGAAGGATCAGGAACTTGTTTTCACATGAAGATCAAAACAGCACAAGAAGAAAAGCACAACATAGCCCAAAGTGACCCAGAACGTCGAAACTGCAACAACAGAAAGTTCAGCCCAAAAATGCAGCCTGTGAGGGCTGTTATTGCTTGGCGTGTTTGTCCCCACTGCGGGCAGCAGGAGGGGGGAGAGCACGGCTTCGGCTCGGGTCAGGTATTCAGTGCTCAGGCCTGCGGTCCCGTGCCTTGTCCCCTGCCGTGCTGGAGAGCTCTCCTTCCAGCAGAGCACCCCAAAGCTTAACTCAGTGGTGACGACTGTAGTTTGAGCAACCAGAAAGGCTCTCATGAGCATGCTCTCAGCTGGCTTGAGTTTCTAGGAAACGATTGGTGGTAATTAATGACCATCAATCCCCCACTGGTAAACTGCTCTCCGTCTGCACCTTCATCCCATCCAGATGCACATGCAGCAGAAATGGCTGCTCCAGATATTTGCAGCTCAGCCTTTGCCCAAGAGCACTGCTGGACATGTCTTAGGAGGTTCAGTTGTTGATCTCACTACTAAGGCTTCCAGTAGGGAAGGAAAAGACATACAGAGCTCTTAAGCTGTTTTATCTTTTTCCAAGAACATTTCCATTAGGATTAGCAAATCTAGCTAAGCCATCTCAGACGCTCAAACTCTGCTCAGCTGAGAAGCCATTAAGGCATCCTGAGTTGATGATCTGATTCACCCTGGATTAAAACAAAACCTGAGGTTCATCCTTGGAACAATGCAGGCTAAACTAAACCAATTTCTTTAAGCACCAGCTTGGAAATATCTGTGTCCCTGAAGTCCACCAGTGGCCCATGAGTGGGAAGAGCTGGGCCACCCCTTTGTATGTGGCTCCCACTGCTAGCTGCTACCACAGCTGGCACTGGCTGGTGGACCAAGGATCTGAAGAGCAAGTGACCATGGGGCTATCCTCATGCTTGCAAGCCCAGGTCACCAACAGAGTTGCCCACTCAGTCTTCCCTGGGGGAATATTTCTACAGCAGAAGGTGCACTGACACTCCAGGGACCCAGAGCCTCACTGTTGCCCAAATTCAACCCTTACTCTCTGCAATATTCACAGCCAAAACCTCTGAGCCCCAGCACACAAACTGATGCTCCAGAATGCAATCACAGCACCTCAGCAGGCACGGCTGGGCAAACACACTTCTAGCAGATGTGCTATAATCTAGGTATGGATTTTGGCACCAATGACCAGGAACTTGGCTCTGGAAGCCTTATGATGGTGTGTGAGAACAAGGAAACCACAGTGACACCGTACACTTCATTCATACTGACCTACAAGTTTCAGATTAAGTCCCCGTGCAGGGATTAAAGCAAGGAGACTGTTTCCCACTATATTTTCTTCCAAACACCAACATGAGTTGAAGAGAAGACACGCCAGCTGCCCGCTGCCCACCCCCTGCTCCTCACAGGGAGGGGGCTGTACCTGTACACCGGCTGCATTTCCCTGGCAATCCCAATGACTGCTCCCTCTGGGAAGTTGTCAAACTCATCAAACAGGTCTCGGATGTTGGTCTTGTACTTCAGGTCCAAGTCTACCTGGATGATCTGTGTTATTTCTGAAAGCACAAAGAGGAAAAGTCAGCTATATAAGACAAAATTGTAACCAGTGATTACCAATGACTACTTGACAAATTACATCCAACAAAGATTTGGTGCAATCAGCCCCATGGGCAAGACTCAACCAATTCAGGGCACATACAATCCAGCTGCAACCTCTACATAAAGCTACCAACCTTCAACCATCATGACAGCCTTTACCACTGACCATTTTAGGCATGATTTACTTCAGAAATCATTTCTGGTGACCTCCGGCTCCTACCCACTCCCTGCTTCCTTCCAGAAGACTGGTTTTCCATACAACTGACAAAAGCAAGAGGTAGCTTCAACTCAGCCACTTCCTCTCTGGACGTGCTTCTGCAGAAGCAACCACACAAAACCTCATGCTCACCCCAGGAAAAGCTACCAACTCCACAAGCGTTTCCAAGCTCCAGCCACAGAGTATGCATCCCTGGATCAAAGTATCAGAGTAATTCCCATCACGGACAACATCAGTAATTCAGTCAGCCACACAACACCCTCAGTAGCACCTGCACGAGCTCAGTAGCGGCCAGCAGCCTGCCATGGGCTTCCCTGAGGGCAGAGATTACAGCCCCCTGCCTGCATAGAACTGCTGGTGGTCTGCAGTAGCCTGGAAAACTTTACTATTGCCAGTGGTACTCTGCCAGAGACAAGGAGGGTCGTGCAGACATGGAAGCATCTTCCACTTGCAGTGGGAAAGTCAAGAGCAAGGAGAGACCAGAGGACATCATTATCCAGGCCATACCAGAGCTCATTACCAGGGTCAGGCCCCTGCCTGTATTTGTCATAGTCTCCTCTGCAGCACAGGAGACCGACTGATGGAGATGTTGCTTGGGAGAGGGTGCAGGAGATGTGCCTTGTCAAGACTGCTTGTCCCTGGGGGATCTGGGGATGTTGTGTGGATTGCAGCAGGCCAAGTGGGATGCAGCAAATGCTGCATACGAGGGATCGGACCATTGGATGGGTTTCCCCAGGCCTGGACAAAGTCATGGTCATCTTCTGGCCAGCCAAGCTCAACCCTACTCGGTGACTGCAAGCGGAGTGGAGCCATCCCCCATAGCGTTATGTAATGCCACCACTATTTATATGTGTTATAAAAGCCAAGAGCAAACTGGCCAGCTTGCTTAGCACTTGGCAGTAATTGGATTATAAAAGACTGTGTCAACCTGTTTCATCCCCACTCACCATGCACAGGTGCCGTCACAGCGTCCTGCAGGCTAGACGTGCGTGTCACCACTGCTTTCCCAGCAATCGGCCCTCAGCCTTCCTCCTGCCCAGTACTTGCAGGCAGGGGGACAAGCCCAGCCTGCCCTCACCTTCTGCTGCCTGCACCCTCCGTGGCTATGACCAGGGCATCCAGTCAGGCTGGTGCTCCTGGGGTGCTGCCCACGCTCCAGCCTTCACACCACCGCGGTTCCTCACCTCCTCACCCCGCTGTGCTCAAGACAGGCTGCTGGCCACCCCTGATCTGCTGAGAGCAGGAGGCAATTGCCCTGTTTTCAGCCTCCAAAGCCACCGTTGGGACTAGAGACCTGGAGAAGCTGAGAGCAGCCAGGCATGGGCAGCTATCCTCCGGCACAGGAATGCACCTTTGCCATTTCAAATGCATTTGTCACTTGCTGTTTGTGTTTCAAGCAGACGCTGGGCTGTACTGCAGCTCTGAATTTTTTGCAGATCCTGCACTAATCCGGGCTCTTGGCAATTGGTCATATCTACTACACTGTCCTCATTTAAGAATGAAAAAGCCCCGTGAGATTAAGCAAGAAATATACTGCTTACTCTGCAAAGCATCCAAGCAGAAATATAAATCAAGAAGAAATAGTATCTAAGCTACAACCCAGGCTGTATCTCAATTTATTTTTTTTAACATCCATCATTCTCTATCTGCTAAAGGGAAAGGCCACACTCCCTCCAGCCAGCAGTACGGCAGTCCCCAGGCCTACCTAGTATTTACCACCACCATAATCCTCTGTTTGCAAAGGTTTAAAACCCAGGCGTAGTACTTCACTACAGGCTAAAACAGGTCTTGACCTGGAAGCAATTTCCTTCAGCCTTCCTAACTGCCTTAGGAATCACCAGTGCAACTCAAACAGACCAACAGGCAGAACAGAGGATTTCTGTAACGGTGAAGGAGACGTGTATCCCAAATACCCCAAACCTCCCCGGTGGTGCATACCACAGCGGTGCAAAACCCCAAATCCTTAACACTATTGCACTTGAGAATATCCAGACTGGTCACAAAACTCCAGGCGAGGAGACCCCAGGCCTGCAGCGCAAGCTCAGCCCATGCTGAGCAGGGGAAGAGCCTGAGCCCTCCAAGGCGCTGCTGAGGACGGGGAGAGGGGGTGGGGATCCCAGGAGGATCCCAGCATGGCTCAGCCTGGTGCACAGCAGCCTTCCGACACCTCATCAGGTTTCAATTAAATCAGCCGCGAGGCACGTCATCCGATTGTTCTCTGAAACTACAGATGAGCGCTATCTGCAATTAATCACAGCGGAGAAGGAAAGCTGAGCTGGGGGGAAGCGCTAATCCCAGCCACGCCTGCCCCAGCACCAGCACCCCGCACTGGTCCTATGCTGTGCTGGCAGAGTCCCCCAGGAAAAACTCACTGACAAATTAGACCCAGAGAGCGCAAAGTACTTTTCCTTTTAGTTTTTTGTTGTTTTTTTTTTTAAAAGCAACCATGAACTGTAACACTGAGACAAAAATGAGCAGAGGTGACATTAGCACCACTTTGTCAGATGCAGCTTGCACAGATAGATTAATGGCCAAGACAATTTCTCTGCCTGTGACTGGCAAGGGGCCAGGCACTAATATTTATGATGTATCATGCTCTTTCGCCCTTTTACCAAGTGCTTTGTCCTGGCTGCCATGTGGGGGTGGAGGAATCACATGCTCTCTTAGGCACAAATTGCTTGGAGGGGTCCAGCTGGAAATGTGGGAAAAGGCTGGAAGTATTCTGCTCAGGCAGCAAGTTCTCCAACTTTGCCATACTGTGTATTACCCTCTGCTCCATTCAACTCCGGCTCTTCCAGCCACGGTGTGTAAAGGGGAGTTACGCCACTCAAAGCAGAGATGACCTTCATTAGCAGTGACAGCTTTATGGCACAGGCTGGCCCCGTTTAATGCTCGTAATGTTTTACTGTAGCCTCAGCCTCGTACCAGCAACTGCAGCAGGGGTGCTGCCTGGGCTTGGCTGAAACACTCCCTCCAGCCATGTCCAGAAGAGAAAGGACAGCTTAAGGGATGCACGATCCCACAGAAGAGTCTGTGGTGCTGGAAACCAGGAAAGAAAGCCAGCAGCAGTATCCGAGCTGCCTTGCACCGGGGCTCAGCTGCCAAAGAGAGGGAGAATCAAGGTTACCCCACAGCTGGACTCCAGAGAGGTGCCGGTGCAGACCCCCTCTCATGTGAGCTGTCGGCAGACGTGGGGCTGGGACGTAAGCGCTGGCCTCGGCTCCAAACCCTCTTCTTTCATATAAGAAGATCTGGGGGCAGATATATACCTTGCCAGATCTGGGGCAGAGGGATGCCATCACCAGCAGCCACCGTCACTCTGCAGAGAGGGGAAAGGAGTGAAAATAACAACAGCTTGTGTCCACGAACAAATAGCGAAATGGAGAGTGGCCATCACAACACAAAGGGCAGAAGCTGTCCATCAAATGGCGTGGTCTTAATTGCTATTAATTGATGAGTGGCTTAAACAGCTTTAGAGTAGAAGCAACAAGAATTGAGGCCTCCTGGAGTGGTGTAGCTCTCCAGCCCATCGACGGGCTCGTGTTGGCATGAGCTCAGCTCCCTCCTCAGTGTACAGAGTTCTGCCTGCAGCTGGTCTGGCAGTGGAGCCGCTGCAGGAGCAGTGGGATGGCAGGAAGGGACAGGTGACCACCATGCCAAGCTGCACTGTGCCCAAATCTCACACATGCTCCTGCGGCAGATGTCTGTCACAGATGCTGGTGGCGATCTGGTTCTTCTCCTGCCATCTTCTGCACCGGGGTCTCCACCTGTCCCAGCAAACGTGCTTTTAAGGAGCTAAGCACCCTGGTGCACCAAGCCAGTGAGGAGAGACTCCTCTGATGTGTACCAGATGGGAGCACCCTGACCTTCCTGCACCTCCTCTACATCACAGCAGCAACTTCTGGGGCCAGAGGCTGGTGCCTGGCTCCCATGCAGAGCAGAAGAGGCGAGAGCAAGGATACCGCTGGGACTGCCGACTGTGCCTTACGTGCTGCACAACACAGGCAAGCCACTTTGCCTTTCCCTGTGGATCCAGCAGCAGCGACTCCTGCAACACAAGGAGGCAGGAGCCCCCCCCATCCTTCTGGAGACCGTGTGGGAAGCAGTGGCCCCACAAGGGCAGGACGATGGGCAGGGACAGACAGCTGCCGGACGCTGAGCGGCCCAGAGACCCTTCTGCAGGGACAGCAGTGGCTGCAGCCAGCACAGGTGACAGCACCCAGCAAAGGGATGGGAGTGTCCCCTGCTGGCTGCAGCTCTGGGTGTCGTGGGGCTGCTGCCGGGGTCTCGGGAAGGGCCAGGGGTGGTCAGGCCTTTTGCCACTCCAGTTGAACCATCAGAAGGAAGAGAGCCGGGTGGGCCAGGCTCTCTGAGTAGGGGTCAGCAAGGCTGGAGGGCTCAGGTGTGCTGGTTTGCAAACACTGGGCACACCTGGACAGCATCCCCTCCATCTCCCTCCATCACTTTGAGTTCGGCTCTGATTACTGATGACTTTTTTTAGTCAGAAGGTTTTTCATCTGTCCCCATCATGACAGGGGGACATTCCAAGGAAATCAGGAGCTGTGGAGGACCAGCAGTGACTTTTGAATCACTGCTCCGGGCAATAAACTTCCTGGAGCAGGGCGGCAGCAGGCCCTACTCCAGCAGGCAGCGTGCCTGCCGGCAGCGACGCGCCGCCCTGCAAAGCCACCCGGCTGGCTGCGAAACCAGGATCCTCCGCCCCCGCTGGCTCAGAGGGAC